AACAAATCTCACAGGTCAATTTTAACCTGGAGACCATACCAACACAAAATACCCAGAGGCAGGCCTCCTATGAGATGGACAGATGATCTGAAAAGGACTGCCGGGAAAAATTGGCTACAAGTAGCGTACAATAAAAAACAATGGAAAGGAAGACTGGAAGAGGCTTATGTTCAAATGTGGACGTGAATGGCTAGACGAAGAAGAAGAAGAAGATGTGCAGGACCTGTGGTTTTAATAAAATGGCGCAACGTGTCACACAGCTCGTGCCACAACTGGTTTATTAAAGGAAGCGTTTGGTAACCGCATAGTTTCATGTTTCGGACCCGTGAATATTGGCCTCCAAGGTCGTGCAATTTAACACCGCTAGACTATTTTCTGTGGGGATATGTGAAGTTTCTAGTCTACGCCGATAAGCCTAAAACTATTGACCACTTGGAGAACAACATTCGCTGCGTTATTGCCGATATACAGCCATAAATCTTGGAAAAAGTCTTTGAAAATTGGACTTCCAAATTAGACTATTTCAGAGCCAGCCATTGCAGCCATATGTCAGAAATCATATTTAAATTATATTGCCAAAAGATTATCTTTCGAATAAAGACAATTTCATGTTAATTGATAAAAATTATCTTTGTTTTATTCCATTTCAAAGTTCTATACCTCTAAAAAAACACCCTTTATTATCGAATAAAACTAAACTGTAACATATCAAAAATTTATAAAAAATGACGCATTTTTTCAAAAATCGTTTTGTTTCACAAAAACACTTAGGCAGACTAAGGAATAATCATTTGTTTAATTTTTATATGATGCTATTTGTACATATTTATATAAATTTACTTTTGGCTTTTTTCTTAGCATTTTAAAATTGACGAAAATTGTTTTTACTCTCCAGAAAAATTTTGTTATGTTGATTTATTACACTTTTCATAGGAAGGTGCGATATATATTTTTTTCCTAAATAATAATGAAGTAGTAAGAAACCTACTTAATATGATTAAATACTATTAGTTGATAGTAAAACGTATATACATCAAAGATAATAATCTTCCAACTCCTTAGATTCATATAACTTTACTGCGCTTTACTTTAGTTTACGCTTTAAGTTTTGTTGATATATATATTTCGTTAAATAAACGTCGTTAAATATTTACGTAAAGACCAATCCCTTTCATAAGAGAAATTTAACTTGGGATGTGGTTTCCGACTTTCAACCACGACCCTTACAAGAGCTCTTGCGGTCTATTTCCAAACATTGACCCCTCTTTTTCAAGGACCGGTAATGAAAATTGCAAATTTACCTACGACGTAATATAAGTATTAATGTTAAGTAACAATTATTTTAATAATTCTGCAAGACCTGTTCCTGTTACAATATTAAACTAACTAATGAAAGTGTTGTTAAATACAGATTTCTTTTGGGTTTTATGTGTCTTATATCATAGTAATTTTTGATATTAATTCTTGTGCTTTTTCTGTTTCTCTATAAGCAGTTCTATTTGTTTATTGGCAAATTAATAGATCTTTGAAAGGTTATCATTTCATTTTTTGCTCGCTTAACCGATACTTCTTTTACAATTTAGTAATTAATTGATATGAGATTAAATGCTCGAATAAATGAACTTTGAAAATTAAGGCAAATATCGAGAACAAGTTTAATCAAATCGTGCCCAAATACTTTTGCTTTTTTTTTAACCTATTCTCTATCCTTCCATTGTTGGATATAGGTCTCCCCCAGTTCTCTCCATCTTTCCCTATCTTGAGCTGTTCTCTGCCATGTGGGACCTCCTTGTTTCCTAATGTCATCTTTCCACCTCATCTGTGGTCTGCCTCTTGATCTCTTTGCATTGTATGGACGCCACTTTCCGATGGCATTGTTCCATCGTCCGTCTTGGAGACGTTCATTGTGTCCAGCCCATTTCCATTTCAGTTTTGCTGCTTGTTCTATCGCGTCTACTGTCTTTGTTCTGGTTCTGATCCACTGGTTACGTTTTCTATTTCTAAGTGATACACCAAACATTTGTCTCTCCATCGCTCTTTGTGCCTTCCTTATCCTATCCAAATTGGCCTGTGTAAATGTCCACGTCTGTGCTCCGTAGGTAAGCACCGGTATTATGCAGGAGTTATATACCTTGCTTCGTAAGTATAGAGGGATTGTTTGATTTTTTAAAACGTAAGAAAGTTTGCCGAACGCTGCCCATCCCATTATTACTCGTCTCGATATTTCGGCTGTTAGATTTTCTCTGTTAGCTCTGATTGCTTGTCCTAGATAGATATACTCATTTACCTGTTCTATTTTTTCTGTTTCTATTATTATTGCCTCTTGGTCTTCCGTTTTTTGAACCTATTCTCTATCCTTCCATTGTTGGATATAGGTCTCACCCAGTTCTCTCCATCTTTCCCTATCTTGAGCTGTTCTCTGCCATGTGGGACCTCCTTGTTTCCTAATGTCATCTTTCCACCTCATCTGTGGTCTGCCTCTTGATCTCTTTGCATTGTATGGACGCCACTTTCCGATGGCATTGTTCCATCGTCCGTCTTGGAAACGTTCATTGTGTCCAGCCCATTTCCATTTTAGTTTTGCTGCTTGTTCTATCGCGTCTACTGTCTTTGTTCTGGTTCTGATTCACTGGTTACGTTTTCTATCTCTAAGTGATACACCAAACATTTGTCTCTCCATCGCTCTTTGTGCCTTCCTTATCCTATCCAAATTGGCCTGTGTAAATGTCCACGTCTGTGCTCCGTAGGTGAGCACCGGTATTATGCAGGAGTTATATACCTTGCTTCGTAAGTATAGAGGGATTGTTTGCTTTTTTAAAACGTAAGAAAGTTTGCCCAACGCTGCCCATCCCATTCTTACTCGTCTGGATATTTCGGCTGTTTGATTTTCTCTGTTAGCTCTGATTGCTTGTCCTAGATAGATATACTCATTAACCTGTTCTATTTTTTCTGTTTTTATTGTTATTGACTCTTGGTCTTCCGTGTTTGTCATTACTCCAAAACTAACACTGCTGATCTACTTATGAAAATGTATTAAACTTTTTAAAAAACACATAGTTATACAATTTAATTTAAAACAAAATGTATTATAAAAAATGTATTGTAACTATTTTGTACGTAATGTAAAGTATTAACCTGTAACGACGTATTTTGCCTACCACAGGGGGCATTAATACAGGGGTAGAAAATTGCTGGAAGAAACTATTGGGGTGGAGATAGGGCAAGCAAAATAATCGCTACTTGTGCGAACGGGACTCAGGGTTTGGTAGGAGAGCTGGGGTCGTGGATAAGTAAAAGATAAGGGTGTGGAATGGGGCAATTACACAAAATGAAATAAAGAGGTACTTAATCTCTTAAGATAAACAAAATAAAAATAAACAAGAAACACCTCAAGGAATTTAATATAGGGCGCCACTTGAGGTGCCTAATTATGCCTATTACAACCACTGGTTGTAACTAGGGAAATAATTAGAAAACAAATCAAAACATAAAAAACATATATTTTTCAAATAATAATCAAAAAAGGTTTGGCTCAAAAAAATAAATAAAAAGTTAAGACAACAAAATTTAACCATTATTTATGTGTCACCACAAACAGTTATAAAATGGAGAAATACAAAATACAAAACTTACGTGTCATCCGATTACTAACTCTGTTGCTACAAAACTTACAAAATTGCATGGAGGTTAACCTTTTTTTTGTTTTTTAAACAAAACAAAGTAAAATCAAAAAATAATAAAACCAGCTGTCATAAATTAACATTAAATTTCAAAAAAACTATTAACATAAATTGACAGCTCAACTCAAAACCAAAAATTTAGAATTTTAAATGTAACGAAAGCAATTATTATTTCATAAAAAAAATTGTCTGTCTTTAGTTTAAAATTTGAACACAAAAAAAAACAGTTACCTTGATTTACATATTTCCACTTCACAAAAAAAACTTGTTATATCTCTGTAGCATCCATCCGGAGATCAGCAGCAAACACATCCATTTGGGGCCGAAACAGGAACAGGACATCCATTGGGGGCCGGAACACACCAGAGAAAACGGGAACTCTCAAAAAAAAACATGAACCCTCCAACAGGAACCAGACTTTTCAAAAATCTCGAAATATCGAGCAAAAACTTCACTACTCCCGGCAAATTAATGCCGGTCACTTCATACTGGACAAAATCCATCACTACTGCTACCCATTTCCAACACAATCAACGAAAAAACAGAAAATTTTACAAACTCGACATGAATTTGGACATAACGCTGAACCGCTCTTGCTCGCGGTTCCAACGAGAGTAACGAAATTATCTATTAAAATTGATCGCATAACTTGAAAATAAACAAACACTTGACATAGCAAAATCAACGAACGACGTACATATCCTTTGCGACGCATAAAATTGAAAAGAAATTGCCGAAATAAAATAAACAACTCTTAAATGGTTTTATTACTCGGCGACGAAACACTTTTGGGTACTTTGAAAGATACGAACTAACAACACGGAAAACTTCTTCGTTTCATTTTTTAAAAATATATAAGGAGTTTTTAATATATTTTATGATACGAGGAGGTTTCAATATACTCAAACGAATCAATGAAATTGAAAATGCTACAAACCATGTAAACATGAATGTAAACTGTAGCTGTGTCAATGACCATTAGCTGTCGAAACACATATTTTCGAAATAAAAAAAACTCCTTGAGATTTTAAAATCGCAACATCAAAATAAAATAAATAATTTATTTTAAAATTTATAGTTTATTTACAATTATATGAAATATTACCGAGAACCAACAACGATATTACCAGCTCAATACTATATTTTCTGTTTATAAAACAAGGTTTAACCACTATTCTCAATTCTTTAAAAGAGCGTCGACACAGTGAGGATTACTGCTAAAAATGCCGGTAAAAATACAGTCCGCGTACCGTTTCGAATGCAATCTGGCATCCGGAAACGATCGTGTTTCACCTAAAACTACAAAAACTAACCACTTACCACTTTCATGTAATTAATGAGGCTGTATCCGTGAGGCCAAAAATCTACTGCATCGCAACTGAGCGGCTTGATATCAATTTGCTGGCTGGTGTCCAAGTCGTGGAGGGCTTTGGCGAACAAGTGAACTGCGTCATACATTAATGCTGTTTCGGCCTGCAATAAAAATGGCAAACTTTGATAGTGCTTTATTTAATGTATATGAGAGGAGTTAATCATACATTTCTGTTAAAGGGTTTTTTCAACTCGTGTATTAGTTAAAAACCCTTCCATTAACTGAAATATAATTAATTACTAAAATTAATACTTTATATTGTATTTTGTGAAATATTGTAAGAACATATGTATTTGCAATTATGATATATGATATTTATTTTGCTATATATAGAGCTATCGAAAATACATGGTTGTGAAATCTGTTATATATAAAGCTTGTCAGTTGTCGTGTAAGTCACAAGTAAAATGTTTTGCTAATTAATTGTATTTTGTATTACAAAAGCTGACTTCTGAGTTTAATCGCGTCTATTGTCACTATACCGAGCTTTCTTTCTCATGTCTTCTAAGATCAAAAAATCAGATTCTCATCATACAAAAGCCTTTTTTCTTTATATTAAAAGTTTCACCGACAATATCGACAAATTTGTCAAATGAAGAGAAATAAAGAAAATATTTATGTATACAAAGCTTATAAAGTTCCTTGTGTAGACTGCCCACGAGCTTACATAGGCCAATTCAATAATAAAATCTAAAATAGGATTTATGAACATTTTATTTTTGTTCGAAGTTCCAATTAAATTTCATCCTTAGATCAACATCATATTATACATGCCTTACCCAAACACGTCACAAAATTGAATTTAAAAATTTCAGATATATTGCCGCCATTCGTTTTTATATAAACCAAGAATTATCTAAGAAGCTAAAGAGATCCAAAGACGCTCGACTGGCCTCTAAATGAGAGACGGTATACACTCGTTTTCGACATGGAGATCTCTCCTTAAGAAAACATCCCGTCCATTCCGTCAAGAATCTTTGTCCAAGTTCCAGCCAAACGCCATCTTTCTATGTTGAGATAAATTACTCTGGACTCTTATTAATAATAATTATATAAAATTTTATAATATATAATCTTATAATAAAACTCTTAAAACATATAATATATATTTTTATAAATATAATATTAAATGAAGATACGCCGATAGCAATTAAAGTAAACTGTATACCCAAGCCTAATCAAGCCATTCAGAGCTGTGCTGGGAATAATTATATTCCACTATGCACCAACAATTTATTCATATAAATTACCATCATTCTTGTACTCATTGCGTCAAGTAAGGACGATAAATATACGAAGAAGGTTGCGTTTCGATTTAATTTGAGTCTCTTTTCACTCCCTGACACGTGTTTCTGGGTCTACCCGTCGTCAGAAGGAGTTTGTAGGAAGACTCAAACCAAATCAAAACGCACCGACTTCGCTGGCAATTACAGGAAATAACTACCAGAGTATGCAACTAGAGACCTCTAGTGAGGAAAGATGAAGTTACGTCGATAGCCAAGAGTCCGTTCCCCTCGTATCTTTTAAACGGTTATTGTTATAAAAATTTGAAGGGAAATGATAAACAGACGTAGGCTTCTTAACTAGTCATAACCGGTGACGCTATAGTGACAGATGACGTTACAGCGCCACTGTGACAGATAATTTAAAATCGGACCTTATGGCAAGTAATACCTCGTTTAAAAGGTATTGATAAATTCTATTCAGTCATAATAATTTTAAGTTTAAGCACATTTTGATAAATAAATTAAATAAATACTAAAATTGTAGCTTCATTCATTCATTGTAATTCATTATATTTCTGAACTCTTGCTGTACTCGTTCAAATTTGTTGGGGGAAATTACCCTACATTCTTTAACAATTCATCGTTTCAAAATGTAAATATTGTCGGGTGCGGTAGCGTAAACTTTAAAACTAGTTCTTGAAAAAGAGGGACCAATGTATGGAACTAGACCTCAAGACCTCTTGTAAGGGTCGTGGTTGAAAGTCGGAAGATTTCAAGTATCTCCACAGAAAAAAATTTAATGGTGTAAGGTCCGGTGATCGAGCTGGCCATTCTATCGTACTTCACCGTCGAATACATCTAGCACGATATTCCTCATCTACGTAACGTCTTACTGCACCATAATGGTGTGCAGGAGTACCATCTTGTTGAAACTTAATTTCCAAGTTGCCGAATACATCTGGATTATCCTCCAGAATTTCTAGTATTAACGATTCAATTGCATTTTGTAACATCTCCAGATATACTTCACCGGTAAAGTTAGTATTAAAAAAAACAGGCTTAACTATGTGGTTTCCCAAAATATCTTCCCAAACATTTATTTTTTTTTTTTGGAAATTGAGGATGTATTTCACGAAAGACGTGAGGATTTGTGTCACTCCAGTACCTCACATTGTGTGTGTTCACATTTTCATTGAGAGAAAAAGTACTCTCCTCGCTAAAACAAATTGTTTTTATATAATCGCGCTGTTGGTTAATTTTATTGGATACAGAATACAGTCTTCGGTCGGGGTCATCATCGCAAAGTTGATGCACAATTTTTAATTTGTATGGATGAAATTTGTTTTCAGTCAACACTCGGTGTACTGTCTTATGACTGATTCCATAGATAGATGCAACTTGGGCTGTAGAAGAAGTAGGGTTCACTACCATTTCTGAAATTATGTCAATTTTTTTGTGATCATTAATTGTTGGTCGTCCAAATCGTTTGACATCTTGAACACTACCTGTTTGTTTAAACTTTCGAAGAAACTTTTAATAAACAAGCTTTTGATGTAGGGAGATCGGGGTACCTCTCATTAAAAAGACTTTCCGCTGCATGGAAATTATTTCCACATTCACCAATTATTAGCACAGCTGCTACTTTGTCGGCTACAGTATGTACCATTCTGCCTCTGTAAAAGTCTAAACGTCTCGTTAAACAATAATTAAACTAAATATTAACTAAGAACAACTAAACTTATATTACTAAACTATTAACTAAAAACAACGACTAAACTTGAATTGGCTAAACTAAGCAGAAACAGAAACTAAATATTGAGCTATAAACGCTTTTGCAAACTAAAAACAACTAGAGTATTGATAAACGTCAACTTTTCTGACAAATAACCAAAGGCGGACGTTAGAATGTTTATCAGTTAAATGCCAAACTAGAATTTTAGTATTTACTTAATTTATTCGTCAAAATCATCTTAAATCCAAACAAAATTAATATTATTGAATAGGTATATTAAAATAATTGTAGCTTCGCATTTAATTAATAAAAAATATCCTAACGTTCGCCTCTGGTTAATTGTCAAAAAAGTTGAGGTTGACGTAGAAATAGTTAGAGAATTGAAAAACGTCAACTTTTTGACAAGAAATCAGAGGCAGGGGTTTTAATTTTTATTAATTAAATGCAAAACTACAATTTTAGTATTTATTTAATTTATTCATTAAAATGAGCTTAAATTTAAATAAAATTAGTATGGTTAAATAGGTATTTTCAATATCTTTCAAACGAGGTATTACTTGCCATAAAGTCCTATGTAAAATTATCTGTCACAGTGGCATCGTAACGCCATCTGTGACTATTACGTCGCTTGTAATGACTAGTTAAGAATCCTACGTTTGTTTAGTACCTTCCCTCAAATTTCGCTATATATATTGAAAAGAAAGGAGATGAGTTTTTTGAAAACAACACCTATTTCACTTTTAATAATATTGTGTTTAGACAAACACAGGGAACTCCTATGGGAGGTACTATCTTTTCCTTTTTGGCCTGTTATGTGATGGATCATTTGCTGGATATGGTGATTCCAGAATTGTCCTTCTATATTTCTTTTGTAAAAAAGTATGTGGATGACTCAATCCTTGCTATTCCTGTTAATGGATCCACAAAAATTCATTCTACAGATATTTAATAGTTATGACCCTCTACTACAGTTTACAATCGAACATGAGAATTATCTATGCTCAGTCCCCTTTCTTAATACCCGGTTCATCAGAATCCATAACAACTCCCTGATAATCGACTGGCATAGAACACCTCATAGTTCTGGACGTTCTTAACTATTGGTCATATCATCGTCATTCAATAAAAATTAATTTGTTGAAGCAAATGAAGGCTAAAATTATACTTATTAGTGATCCTTCTTTCCATCAAAAGAACTTAAGTATCCTTTCTCACTTTTTTATCGACAATTCGTACCCAAAACACCTTGCCACCAAGATATTATTCAGTTTGACCCCGAACATAGTATGCCAAAACGAGTTGCAAATTACTGTCACAAGAGGAGAACCGAAGGAAAATTACTTATATAATTCTTTAAAATACGTTAAAGGCGTGTAACACCCAGACTGGCAAGATTGTTCAAAGATATCACCAACTTAAAAATAGCCTTTAAAACCTCATTAACTACAAGATCAATATTTTCTAAGGTTAAAGATAAGAATGACATTAAGGAATGTTCCAACGTTGTGTAATTTGGTATATGTGGGACAAACCGCACGCAGTTTAGGTAGACGCTTAATTAGCCATCGGAGTGATAGCAGATTATATTCTGAAAGATCTGCTCTTGCGGAACATGCTTACAAAGAACACCATGAAATAAATTATGAATCGTTCAAAGTTTTAGCTGCAGAGTCCAACTATACTAAAAGACTGTTCCTAGAAATGGCATTCATTTCTCAGAATGCCAATGCAATGAACAAAAGGAGTGACATCAATTAAGCACTATTTACCCCTACATATTATATTTGGATAACTATTCTCAATCCAATGATGACTCAACATCTGATTCATTGTAAAATTTCCAGCTTTCAGTCTATCTTAAAGTATTAAGTATACAATTTTGTTTTTGAACTTTAAACAACTTTCTGATAAATTTTGATGTTTAGTCTAACAGTAGTAGTACTTCATAAGAAAAGGTTAAAGAAAGAAGAAGTGGTGGCATTTACAATGTCCAGGAATTACATTTACTATTAACCTCACATTTCACAGTTGGCCGGCACACGTGGCTTTTAAACTGTTTTTAATTGTCTTTTTCTTATGTGTTAGTGTATAGAATAATTTGTCAATTTGGTCTTTTACACTATTTATTTTTTAATATTTGCCT